TGCGGTCAGCCACCAAGATTTCGCCACTGAAATTACGTTTTGGCAGAGAACCACAGAGTTCGCTCGATACGGCCTTAGCGAAGGCGGGTGAGGGAGAAATCCAGAATGGCATCATGAACAACTGCTAGCGACTGTTAGAAGAGAAGCAAAAGTCCGACAAGCACGCAATAAGAGGAACTAGGACACCAGGCATGAAGCTAACAAGTGAACGCAGTTCAGGATCAAAGAACACGTCAAAGTACGGAACAATGGTCGACCAGCATACAAACGGCCGGGTGCCAACAAGTTCAGGGAACGCTGGAATGGCCCCTACACCATACTGGATCAGAAAGGAACAAACTGCCAAGTCCAGAATGGAGGAAAGAAACGCTGGGTAAAAGCCGCCCTTCTACGACAATGGTACAAGAATAACAACTTCGAGAAGAGGCGGGTGTAGGGTGGCGGAATCCAACGACTATTAGTGAACCGGAAAGACAACAAAGACGGGATAGTAGGGAATTACCTATGGGTGCGTTGGATGAGATAATACAAGATTCTGCGCCGACAGGGCCTCCACAACGACGTTGGGTAACGAGTCTGGGCCCAGAATCAAGGAGGGGGTGTTTGTCGAGAACGCATCAAATCAGACTAATATGCCGCTAGCGAAGCCCACAGAACTGAACGCGGACCAAATGATGCAGCCACAGGTATGCAATTTGAGAGCTTTCGAAAGATTGGCTGGGCAGAATCGGACATAGCGAAGCGGAGGTAGGGATGGAAACATGAAGGGATTGTTCTAAATCTCAAGCTCGTAGATACATGAAATGGGCCGTCACACAAATCTTCATCCGCGTTGCGTCCCGGGAAGGGAAGGCGGCCCATATCGGTACAGTTATGTGTTGTCAGTTGAAAATGTTGTGGCAATACACGCTCTTCCACCCTCCCGCGTCATTCACGCTACATAATCACAAAGAACGTAAATGTTAATGCATAACTTCTTTGGACTTAGGCATTTCTAATTAGTCAGACACATGGGAGGAACGAAGCATTTACAGATACTCACAGTACTGTCTGTGGTACTATGACAAACCTAACGAAGTGCTGTTTAAAAATGCATGGAGATCTACAAAATATGTCCTTACAACATATCTTTCTGCGCAACGGTCATAGCAGAATGAAATCTGCGATAGAGTGCAGTCTGCCTTATATGAATACCCACACAAATTTCATGAAACATTGACTCGACTAGGAGCGCTCCGAATGATCAGTACTGAGAGAAGCTGCATTTCTCTTTAAAAGGAACTGACCTAATAATTTGATAGTAACCTCACTCCAACTTGGTACAGTAAAGGATTTCTGTTACACGAAGAGATTTACTCCAATCCCAAACTGCCATAAAAACAAGTAAACAATTTGCGTCGTGTTAAGCGCGGTATTCCTGCTTTGCACCAGCATGCGGGTTAGCCCAAACCGCACAAAAGACGGCCAATCTTCTTGGACAACAATTTGTTCGTATCTTCCAAAGCATGCAATCATCATACATCCTGCCTAAGCAGATAATTCCGCCACCAGGGCTTAAGCACAAATTTTTTACCTCCATAACTGTACTGAAGAGGCTGATGTCTCTACGCGAATTCAGCTCCCCGGGTGCGGACAGCATTCGCCCGAAGACGTTAAAGGTTGCTGCCATGAGTTTGGCGGGGCCACTAGCATTTTTCTTTCAAGGATATCTGAACAAAATGGACGTCCCCATGAGGTGGAAGTACGGAAACATCACGTCAATCTAGAAAAGTGGCAGCCGTGCTGAATCAGCAAATTCTCGCCTGATAACACTATTTCCTGTGATCTCCAAGGTTATGCAGTCCATCGTAGTTGAGGCGTTGATGAGGTACCTAGAGAACAACAAATTCCTCGTTCCGTATCGGCGATCCTGTTCTAGGCTGGATAGGAGACTTTCTCGTGCAACTTTACCTGAATGTGAGGGTTCGAAACGACGCATCGGAATCCATCGATGTTCAGTGCGGCCTACCTCAGGGCTTGGTACTTGGACCTCGGCTGTGCCTGGTTTTAATAAATGACCTCGCGAATGTGCTATCTTTTAACTGTTTGCTAGTTGCTGATGATCTAAAGGTATGGCATATTATAGCTGCAGTGGAGGATCACATAGATTTACAGGAGGACCTGGAATGTCGGCGAAACGTTTTCTCCCCTCTAGTGTCACAGCCTTGGAACGCCCTCCCAATACATGTAATTAATGCTCCCACCCTATCCCTTCTCAAGAAACGCCTTGACGATACTCTGTCACATTTATACTACGTGATATAGCCCTTGACCACCAGATGCTGATACTAATGCACAACAGACAGTGGACGGTGCCATAACCCTACTCGAGAATGAGTCGCTCCAAACCCCTTGCACCCAATTTGGTAAACGCTACTGTTGTAGGAACTGAATTTCAGTATCCCGTCGAGCCGAGATAGCTTCACACAAGTAAGCGCTGTCCTGGCTATTTTTCCCCCTTGTTTTCGCTTATTACGTGATCAATAACCAATCCCCTTATTGTTTGTGTACGCACATTCTAACTTCAAACCCTTTTTGTGGCAGTGAGGTTAACTCTGTAATCGCCCAAACCAACGATTCCATTTTCCCTTGATCTATCTTTTTTCACTATAACCACCCCACGGGACATGTCAATCATCTGTATTTTACCCGTTATAAATCCTTGTTCATTTTTCATTGTCAAACAGGCCCAGCAATAAATCAACTGAAAGCGCGTAGTTAAACCCGCGTACTAGGATGATCGTATTTCGCAAACCATGCATCCGCATTTCAATCCTGATTTATAGCACCTGCTGGATGGCATCACACTCTTGCATTTAATGTACTTAAGCACTCAAGCTACCTACGCTGGAATCGTCTCACAACATGACACTAGCCACTACTTCCGGTACTTTTGGAATTCAGTTCCAACTCAGTAACTGACTGGCTTCTGCGCATTACTGCTGAACCTTCAATGCAGTTTACAAGCTGCAACTGCCATCATGTTAGTATGCTGATCCATTCTTTCAGAAACTTGGAGGAAAGAGTACGGAAAATGCGGCGAACATATTCATTCATAGGTCATCGAAATTATAAACCCTGTGCTTCACTTACAAATCGAGATGGAGTACAGTTCTCCCTCATCGTTCACCTGAAATCGATTTAAACCCAACGTGGAACCCCTCAGGGAACCAAAGGGGAAATGTATACACTGAGATTTGCACCCCTTCAGGGTCAGATAAATCAACAACACCGCGTAAGAAAGAAAACGACTTTCTGAGGATGTGCGCAGTTGACGGCTTTCAAAAAGAACACCCTAGACAAACAGCTATTTCGTCAACGCTACCCGAAAAGGCGGTGGATTGCCGTTTCAACCCATGGAAATAATCAATAATCCTCATTTATTTGAAATCCTATGGCAATCCATCACATTTTTTGGCTGGCTGTACTTATCCGTGCAAGCAACTGCGGCTCCAATGTCGGAGATCGAATGCGTGACCAAGCTACTAACTATGATGATGGTGCGACCCCCGACTGCCAAGACCTGCACGTCAGCTACCCCAGCTAAAAGACTTAACTCACTAGAGTACCAACTAACCTAGATTACTGTGAGTCCCAGGGGGAATTACTGGATCCAGATTAGCAAGCAGTGTCAGATTATTTGTTACGCGATAGTGAACCGCCCCAATTGCTCTGAAATAGCCGGTCGTTATTTGCTGGGGACAGTAAGCTATTGCTAACAGGATAACCATGAAGTGGATTTTCGATGGACCATCCTCATTTGTTTCTTTCGGCCTAGTTAATAACAGTGACATATTTTGAAGTAAGTAAACCGGAAAGAAGTGCAACTGTAGTTGGGGAAAATTGATTCTCCAACCTCTAGGTAACCCCGACGTATGCAGATTATGACAATTTCCAAGTGTAGAATAAAATCCATTCGCCTGTCTCTACCTAAACCCTTGAGTGCCGTCAGGACTGATTCCCGTTCTCGTCTGGTTTAAACACGTCGTAGTAACAGTCATGCTTCTGAGTCCCTAATCGCAGACACTTTCTGTCACTCTACCCATTCTGTCTGCTTTCACGTGGTATTTACCATTTTTTTCTATCTGGCTCCATCTAGATGATTCATCATGTCTCGGTCTTAAGGATTGCACACCACTGAACGTATTCCAACTTACACGTTCACTGTCTGCCTGGCACCAATGTACTGATGCCATATACTCTGTCGCTAACGCCTTAATTGTGACCGTGCAGCGGTGTTCAATTGCGGCTTACACCTGAGGTGTTGGTCTTGCGCGGTTGCGTTTTCTACTTTGCACTGTTTGGTGATCGTTGAGGTCTGTACTAGTTGGGTCGCCATAGTTTTAAATAGTAGTGCAGCTCAGAACTGGCTTTGTTTTATTTAATCTTTCGATGATCTACGCATTGCCCAACTACTCTAAGCGAATAGCCGCTTTCAGCCCCAGCCTATTACCTCATCAGATTTCAATTGCTTTGTTCTCATTGCAGCTTAGTCAACTGTACACTCATCCCCTGCCACTGGGGTGTGAGTAAACGCGCCCAGCAAATTATTGCAATAATAGCCGGCATCTGGGGTAAAATTGGCAAAATTAATTTCACAACCCTCAGAATCATCTGATGAAAGTGTATCGGTGCGAGTGCATAGCGCACACAGAGAAATCTTGAGCAAACAAGCACAGTTCCCAAAACGCCTGCTGTGTATCTTGCCTACAGCAAGTGGTCTCACAATAGGCATTCTCAAAAGTACGGATGAGTTGTTTGTGGCTTAACTTGTCGCTGAGTAATGAATTCTTCACGTTGTTCTATGCACCGAAACAGTTCGATCAAGAAATAACGCAGTTACGGAGTAGAGTGACCGGTAGGAGACACTTCAAAAGAATCACTCCGTCTGATTAGGTAAATTACTTTAAAAATCAAGCGTCACTTAAATATTTTTTACTAGTCAAAAAGGATTGTTTCTCCTAAAGCAAACGCGCTGTAGGTACCAATGAAAACGAAAGGTCTTATTGTAGTACATATGTATTGTAGCTAAAATAAACATAGAATTGCAAAAAAAGGCTGTTGTATCCTGCAGCGCTGGTAAATGTTTGCATACAAGGAAGAGCCTTATTCAGATGTGGAAAATGGACGCTTGTGAGGCTATCAGTAGAGTGATGCATAAATCTAGACAGTATAATAATAAACACTGCACAGTACTCGCGGAAAAGTAGATACTTGCTTGTAATGATGTACGACAATAATGTGTTTGGGTCACCTCTGACACTAAAAAAGGGAAGCAGCGTGTTAGCTAGTTCATCTGCAACCAGAACAACGTTGAGAGCTGTAGCACAATTGAAATGGTTTGTTGCTTGGCGTTCCTGGTGCCCTTTGATTGCTGGCAATGGGATGCGTTTTTATATGGTTCCAGACACAGTGCATACATGGTACCGTATGCTATGAATGTATTGTCAATCGTACCATGAAAAAGTTGGTGCATTGGCCCAGTAGAGTACAAGGCGACATCTTCTCCCGTGTGCGTAGCTAGTGACAAAGGGACCAAGGCCTGTTGCATAGCCAAATCATCTAACCTGCCAGGTTTCAATGGGTTCTCTCGTGTTTGATTTATTTTCGCCGCAGGACCGTTAAAATAGCTTGAAATCAGGTAGGGCATTCCGTCATCTGCCTGCAAAGAGGAACCGGGAGTTGATTAGTTTTGGTGGCACAAATGCCTATAGTAGCGCGCGGTAAACGAAATGTTTTGGGGGATGCTTACGCATGCATCAAATCATTAATTCCACCAACCTCTTGAGTGTCATCAATGTCAAAAATGTTTTGTCTTCTGGTTGCATATCCAGCTATCCCGTAACCATGTGAATGATCCGCTGTGACCAAAATGAGTGTCTCCTTAGGGTCTGTCTCCCTCACAGCAGTCAAAACAGCATTCTCCATTGCGAGTGTATCGGTTAATGCGGCCCTGCAAAAATATGAAAATATGTAGTGACCTGGGGGTTGTCCTGTTTGTCTGTGTAAAATTTTATTACAATATCATTCTGTACATAGACAACTTAGGAAGCTTGCCTGTACGCACGATGATTATGCATTACTGCGTATCGGCAGGTGACTGGACATTTCCCCTAGCTAGAACATTTTTACGGTTCCTTGTGCTAGCGGGATCTTACATTTCGACAATAAATGTAAATCTCGCCCTTATCTTCGTCTTTTAACGATTTATCCTTGGGACGGGATGAACCTGACATTATAGCGACCGAACCTTTCCGCCGTAAACGTGTTGGCCATAGTCGAACGCGCCTGTCATACATGTTTTCAGGATGCGAGCACAGAAAATGTCAGTTTCATTTAGTACATTAAACATACTATCTCGAGTAGGGCATCGTTTATAATGAATTGTGAAACTATAGTCGATTTATGACTTACTTTGCCATGTTCGTGTGGTGCGCGTGATCAATGCGACCTCCTTCAACCAATAAGAGAAAACCCTTGAAGTTCCGAGATAGGATCTGGATTGCAACACTGGTCATCTCTGCGAGGCTAGGCTGATCTCTGCGTTGTATTTCGTAGTCCATGTGAGAGCCGGAAAATAAACCTAAGTGGTTAGATTAAATGTTCTGAATCATTTTAGGCTTGGCTGTCAGGGGCTAGAGAAATAAGCATCGAACAGCACCGAATAATATAATGTTTCTGGCATTTCGGAATCCACACTAAAAGTGCAACATGGGCTGTTACGTATCACTTCGAGTTCAGGAAGATCCAATTCATTTGTTGAAAAAGAGAATAATAGCTATACCAAGATCGAGTACTTATGGAATGGACTGTAATGACAAATTGTCAATCACAGTTGACTGTAGAACACTTGACGCGAACACGAGATCTAACAATGGGTTAAGGAGTCAAAGGAATAGGACAACCGTACTTGTCAAATCTTCCAACTTGCACTATCGTATGGTTGGCTGCATCCGGATCGGGATTTTCTTGTTGCTGTTGTTTCCATAGGACAGTCACAGGACGTATGCACCTAAAGTGGGACCATGGGTGGCTTGCGTTGCATCACCCACAACTCCATCCACACATCCTACATCCAGTGTACACCCGAAGGAATAAGACCGGGAGACATGTGAATGGGAGCCACGTTTCATAAACGGAGCCGGTCCACACTCCTTCATAGGCAAACACAAACACGCAGTATTTTTGACTCATCCACGCTCAGTGCGATGCCCAGACCGTAGTCCACTCCAAGCTGAGTGCATGGAACCACTGTTCGAGACTAGTACGGCCACAATGACCCAGCAACGACCAAATGTCTCCTGGAGCCAGTATGGACGAGGTCGTGGGTAATAGACAGGTAAGTACGTTGTCAACGTGCACCTCAAGCGCAGACACACCGGGGATGTCAAACAACTTCCAACAACTTGAAATTACATTATCAAATAATATATATCAGGTAAATTATACGATTATCCAGACAAAACTCTTCGCTAAAGTAGCTTAGGAAGTAACTTGGTTAGCAACGATTCCGCGATGAGTACAAATGTTCAGATGTTACTCAAAAGCTGCTGCAAATGCAATGAACTTGAAGAAGATAAACGCGATTAGCGTAAGTAACATGGCCAGTTAATAGAAGATTATTCAGGTAGACAGAAGAAGCCAAATAAAGTGGAATGAAATTTAGGCAGATTAAAAAGACCTGGATTTAGGGTATGTTTGTTTAACTTAAATGCGGTTAATGAGCATCGTGAATGCAACACCATCCTTCTTACGCACGTAATGCAGCTACATACCAATTGCTGACGCGGATACACTGGAGCGACTATTGTCCTCGGGCGAATACAGCTCGCTTTGCGTAGTCGACTTTACCCAATGGTCTTGAAATCGCCACCCATGAATTCACGGTAAAGCCTCCGTATTTGGAACACTCAGGGAACTAGATCAAACTAGTCAATCTAGAGAGGTGGTCGAAATAAACTTTGTTGCATCCAAAACATTTACATGATGAACGTGGAAGTAATAAGAAAATACGGCCAACTTAGCCAGTTGGTCAGGATATAGAGATGATCAAATTCGAAGGTCTTATTTTAGTTGAATCATTCATTCCAAATAGGCTTTATGTATCCAGGTGGGTACCTTGTCAGCACTTAAGAATACCAAATAAGAATGAGCAAAAATCACACAAGCAGAACTGAAATTTGTAGGAATAGAGTAATGGACACGGTGTACAGTTGTCATTTGTATAACCTGTCAGTATAAACGAGCAACAATGAAACATTTCCGGGCAGAATAATCTAAAGCTGCATTCGGTTGACAGACCACAGTGTTGCAGGCTAGATTTCCAATCGGGACGGCGCATCTTTAGGTGCGCGGTATCTTGATTTTTACAATAAGTAAGCAAAGGACAGCAGTGGTGACCTTGGAAATAGTTTAACGAACGTCTGGTTTGAAACATTTCGAGAACACCAGTGTATCCAAAAGGATTTTGTAAAAAGTATACTCAGTGAAAACGGTATTGTCGACTTAAAAGCCCCACAAAGCCAGGTCCTTTCAACGGTACCTCAATGCTATACATGTCCCCACAATGTTCAAGCATTCGATCGAGACTCTCCCATTCACAAGGGTAACACCTGTGCAGAACCAACGAATTAGCGACCGATAACATCCCTTCCATTGGTGTCAAATGTCACTGAGGCACACATGGTGTATCTGGAAAGCAGCGAAATTCTCGTTTTGAAGCCGCACAAATTTCTCTAGAATCGGTCATGCACCAAGTGCCTACTGGTAATCCAAACTTGCTGAAAGGGTCTGTCGACGCTCGGATGGGCGCAGATGCGTTCTCTATGGATTTCGCACAGGTAGCTGATCGTCCGAATCAAAACTTTTTAATTCACTAGAATCAGCGATCCATTCTGGATTGAATGAACACGTTTCCTGTTCGAGGGTCCGAAACACTCTTTCCGATCCAACCTAAGTCTGTTGCGGCGTACCTCAAAGCTCAATAATCGGATCACGTCTAATCCTGGTTTTCGTAAACTTTCTCGATAGGGAACTGTCTCCAAATCTTTTTCTAATCGCCAATGATCTAGAAATGTGACGGGCTATCACTGCAACGTATGATCACATGGCACTGCGAAATGCTCTAGATATACTTTGCACATGGTGGAACGGGAAGATACTCCAGTCGAAGTTGGCCAAGTGTGAAACTTCGTGCGCACATCATCGAAACCTTCACGACTATCAGCTATGACAAGAAAGTATGCAGCAATCTTCTCATGAGATCGATTTCAGTGTTCGCCTGATAGATGATCTGTTGCTTGATGCAAACCGAAAGAGCATGGACGAATGTAAATCAGCACGGTTTGTTGCGCTTCGTTTATCCGACACATCAATCTTTCCTCAAATGCTTGGCGTATAAGTGGGGCAGCATGTAGAATAGGCCATACAATCCTGGCAGATGCACCATCTCAATGCACTCGAGGTTGCGTCACGCAGGACGATAAAAATGTTATATGTCTGCCACATCTCACCCAACGGCTTAGGCTCACAACTCCCACGATGTACAGCGAATGTTACCGGAGTCTATGGGACGATCATATAAGGTAAAGTCACCAATCCCATTGGTCATCATCTTTGGAAACTCGACCAGCACCCATCTCTGAGGCTCCATCAGTTGTAGCTTGAAAAGCAGTGCACGTGACCTGAAGGTCGATGAAAGCTTTTCTCCCTTCGAGTGTCGCAACCGTGGAACTTCCGTCTAGCGTAAATGAATAATTTCTCCACCCTATTACTATTTAAAAGTCGACTAGATGACAGAGTTGGGCATTTGGAGTACCTGATATAACTGAACTCCACCGCATGATAGGATTAGCGCAGAACAAACGGTAAACTATCTCAGAATACCCTTGAATTCCCGACAGGAAGAGTAAATTCTGTCTTGCTGCAATACCTTATTGTGAGTACTGCAACATGTGCGCTGTTTGATCGACAGTTTTACTTTTCTTCTTCATACTAAGCAAATCAAAGGACTGGTCAAGCATTTGAACTTTTAACCGTCCAGTCCATTCTTCTATTGCAAGTATCGAGCATCAATATGTCTATGCACTGAGTTGAATTTGCACAGAAGATTAAGTCACATCTGCTTCACTCTCTGCTTTTTGATTTCTTAACTTAGCTTTCTGTTAGGGCCTGATAATGTCTGACAAGTTAATAACGTCGAATTGGGAATTCGCGTACAAGCAGCATTTGTCAACGCTTTTTTAAACACCAGAACTATTTGCCGGGTAACAGGAAAATGATCGCCCATACCTACTAGTCAGCGATCATTATTTCTATATACTTACGAGTAACTTATGTTGCAAATGAGATGTTGTAACAGGAAAAAGTTGCACATCGATTTAGAACGCAGGTTTCCGGAATCTTGCCCCTTGCTTCGTTCACTTGGCGACATATTGTAGTGCCGCGGAAGGCAAGAAATAAGGAGAGAAGAAACCCCACGGAAACTAAGAGGGAAACTATCGCAAACAGCAGGGACGAAAGTCAGAAAAGCAACCCGAGATATACGGAACAAGCCGAGAATGGGTCACTAGCGACGAAAGAAAAGTGGGGGACTTAGTAGTGGAGAGTCCGGTTTTCCGGTCATACCATCAGGAAGAACCCCAAGGTGAGCGACGCGACCCCGCTTGAGCAAGTCAAGAGCACTGGAACGAATGCAGTCCGGTCAGAATACGACGCAGGTTAATGGAGATAATAGCGCAGCTCGGTGCAAATGACCTCGCTGTTTGGACGCATTCGGGATACCAATGTGACGCAGAGCGAGAAGAAAATGTGCGGTGCTTTGTGGGGAGGGGGAAGTATTATCTATACGTGCGCGTATGTGTGCTAGCCTGGTAACCGGTTTTTCGTCGGAAATAAAACGGTGTGCCTTTACTGCCCTGTTTTAGCCACATATGTATTCACCACAGGCCAACCGTCCGATGGTGGATTCCATACTAAACTCACCTTGTGCAATAAAATACTGCACGAGGTTTGAAATCGAAATAGATTTTAGACTACTTTTGCATGTCATTGTAGAGAACATTAATCTCTTCGTTTTTCGGCCGCATTTTTTGCCATCCCATACCGTACTGAGGTTAACGGACTAGATGACTATTTCCCGTTCTACTAAAAGCCAAAATGTTGACGGATCTGGTTTATCTCAGATTAATATATGTTGCACCAAATGGATGCTGCATAGTCAGTGGTAAAGGGGCGTAAACAAATACTCCATCCTGAATGTGGATACATAGCTTGTAGCTGCAACTCACCGAGCAAGTAGTTTGTCTCAGAGTTATTCACTTTGAGCAAAGCTGTTCTATTGAATATTAACTGATACTGTCTACTTTGCATTTCCTGTTTGTCTATCCACTCTTTCAGTAAATTTCTTCCATCTGTCCTGGTACCATTTGTCGCTGGAGTATACGCGTCCGGAGTTTGATAAAAGTTGTGATATCCTCCTCCCAAAATGACATTAAAGTCGATTCCCTCTGTGAGCAGTTGCGATGCAATGTCGGGACATAATACCTTTTTATCTTTGGAGTGGTGTCTGAAAACAAATAAGCAAAATAAATTCGGCCATTCACTATTGTGTTTGTATGGTACTAGACCTGCGTATTTAACAACAAACTAATTATGTGGAGAAGTGATGGTGGTGTTAATCTAGTTTTAGTGCAATCCACTCCTGTCTAGTTTCTGTTAAACGTATTTGACTGGATCGCAATAGCCCGAAGAGGACTAATTGTTTCGCCTGGATCGCAGTCTAGAATACACTGTCCAGTATTGGATGCTCTGACACCAGTGCGATCTCGCTACACGTACAACTTCGTCGGTATTAGTAACCAACTATCACATTGGATTGCTCTTCGAATAGTGCACAGTTAGTAAATGACTCATAGAAGTGTCCAACTCACCCATAATATTCACTGTTACAATCTTTGATCGTCCATGTTACTTTTCAACACCTTGTCGGTTAACCTTATAACAAGTGGATACTCACAAATGCAGGACCTGACCAAGTGAATCTGCTTAACGTATTTTTAATTCTATGTCTATTATGATCAGACCGTATCGGATAGCATTCCTGCATGCGTTGGCACCGACAGACGCGCTATTAAGATCACTTTCGTGAATACATTATGCTATGAGGGTAAAATACACACTCACGGGCTGGACTCCCAATCCCGATGCGGAATGTGAGCGTAGGCCGCGGCTGGTGTTGCATGGGTCACACGAGTTGTGGTTACGATTCCAGTTGAAAGTCCGGAATGTTGAGCCATAATTAGTATAGATTTGACTCTGTTCGTAGAATTCAGCTTTTGACAAATGCAGCACTCTGAAATCCCCACGATTCCTATTACCTCATGAATGGTTTTTGCGCCTTAGAAAGGGAAATTTACCGGAATGAACAGATTGCGTACATAGTTCCAATACGCATAATAAGTATAAGTACTTCTACTTACATGACGCAAGGACGCGCAGATAGCCGAGTGACAAATTCCAATCTGGAACGTGTGATGAGCTAACAGTTTTGCATCACTTGTTGCATCCAATTACACAACCAACGTTCGCGTTCGAATTTCACACCGAAGGACTGGTTGTGCAACGTGTGCGAATAGTTTGAGGGGACAAGAGATTTTTGTGCAAATTTAAGGTTAAAAATTCAGAGTATTCGAAGTATTCGACAGTTTTTCCAAGGATTATTTAAGTTCAAATACAAACTAACGTCAACCCCCACATCTAGCATATGTAGAAAAATAGGAAATCAGTGTTATCAACGCGAGGCATTTTCAAGACTAAGGTTTGTTATGCTGACCAATCACTGATCACATACTCTGCTCTTTGCTGTGTGGAGTTTAACAAACATTCTGGAACTGGCAGACCCTAAAGTATTCCTTTCCTTAGTCCATAGTTTGAAACCAGAGGCGATCGCATACATCTGTAAGCTTAATTTTAGTCTCACCCAAGATCGTGTCTATCATAGTAGTTAATACAAGCAGACGCATGACGCGTATCTTTATAACAGAAAATTGTGTTACAGCAATGTTTAGCTGGAAATTTTTTGGATGCCTTACATCAGTGTTAACTTATTCGGCAGTGGTCAAGTGGCACTGTAGTGATGGGGACTGTTATTCTTAGGGCAGAACACGACAGGCGATCAATTAACACAACTCTGCTGCTAAATCGGAACTCCCAATGGTATGCGCTAAGGCAGTATATTTCGACAGCTTATGTACAAAATGTCTACTCGAAGGCTAGAACAACACTTGGCCAGCTAAGGATCCTACTCTATTCAGCAAGCACACTGGAAGCGCTGAAAGCGATTCCAACTCTAGGATGACACATGTGTCTGCAGAGCTGTTGCAACAATCGCATGAGGAGTGACACAGACACCTTAGGTTCCCTGGGTAGATGGGAAAACTATTTTAGCACAATTTTACCATCATACCGCAAACGAACGATGGAATTGTCCAGCCGCCACAGGACCATTTAATTCCTTCACAAGCATACTGTGGCCAGGGATGGAATAATTGTAGACAATTCATTGTTTATTATGTGGCCTAGAACTCGTGATTTACGTATAGACTGTGTACGTAAATGTGCGATGTCCACTGTTAACTGGAAATAATATCTCGTGAAAATGTGTGCGATTCCTCAGACGGTCCATCGGCTAGAACCCACTTAGTTCATGACCCACGTCCAAGGAAAGGCAGCAAGCATCACTGAATAAACATCAGTTGCGGTTTAAAATGTGGTTTAACAAATGCGATCATCAACCTTTCCCGGTATCCGTGGTTTGCGTTGAAGAAGTATATTTGAGTCGCCGTCTCGCTGAATTCGATCCCGTTTTTGAAGACTGCCGGCTACCAGAATACAAGCAATATTCTGTCAGTTGAGTTTCATTTCGTGTTCTCTTGCTCCTCCTAAGACCACAAGGGAAGTGAGTAGAGACGAGAATGCGCTGCTATATTTGGAATACCTTATGTAATATATGATGTGGAGTTAGAACAAGAAAGTGGTACGTCACAACTATAGAATGTATCACATATCGTTCACCTCCGCAGCTGTACTGAAGAGGCTGATGTCTCTGCGCGAGTTCAGCTCCCCGGGTGCGGACGGCATTCGACCGAAGGCGTTGAAAGTTGCTGCCATGTGTTGGGCAGGACCATTAGCAATTTTCTTTCAACGATGTCTGAACGAGATGCACGTCCCCACGATGTGGAAGCACGGAACCATCACGCCTATCTACAAAGTGGTAGCCGTGCTGAACCTGCAAACTATCGCCCGATAACACTACTGCCTGTGATCTCCAAGGTTATGGAGTCCATTATAGCTGAAGCTTTGACGGGGTACCTGGAGAGCAGCAAAATTCTCGTTCCGCAACAGCATAGATTTCGCTGAAATCACTCCTGTACAACTAATATCTTGATTGCTCGTGCAAGCTGGACGGAATCCGTGGACGCTGGTGTAGGATTTGAAGCGGCCTACTTGGATTTCTCAAAGGCATTCGACCGCACAGACCATCGCATTCTCCTCCACAAACTTCAGAAATATGGAATCGGTGATCCTGTTCTGGGCTGGATAGGAGACTTTCTCGTGCAACGTCACCAGAATGTGAGGGTTCGAAGCAACCTATCAGAATCCATCGATGTTCAATGCGGCGTATCTCAGGGCTCGGTACTTGGATCCCGCCTGTTCCTGGTCTTCATAAATGATCGCGCGAGTGTGCTATCTTTTAACTGTTTGCTAGTTGCTGATGACCTAAAGGTATGGCGCACTATAGCTGGAGTGGAGGATCACACATTCTTACAGGAGGACTTGGACAAACTGTACACATGCTCCATCAAGAACATGCTACATTTCAACGTCACCAAGTGCAAAGTTCTCAGTATACGGCACAAGAGTATGCACAACTACCGCCTAGGACCACAAATTCTACAGCGGGCTTCTCACGAGTGCGATCTCGGTGTGATAGTTCAAGATGACCTCGTTTGTTCGAGGCAGACTGAAAAGGCATCTAAGAAAGCGAACCAGTACCTCGGCCTTCTTCGCAGAGCTTTCGGGAAGTTTGACCCTTCAGTCTTCCCAAAAATGCTTAGTGCGTACGTGAGGCCGCACGCGGAATACGCTATTCAAGCGTGGCAACCCTGGCTCAAGCACCATCTCACCGCGCTCGATACTGCACAACGTAGGGCAACGAAAAGCGTCAGAGGTTTGACCAGCCTTCCCTACCCACTCAGACTGAAGACCCTCAAAATATACAGTGGACGTTATCGGCGTTTAAGGGGCGATCTCATAATGGTGTACCTAATCCTGAGAGACCACAACCACCCATGCCATTCCCTTCTAATACTCAGTCAAAACACCTCGCTAAGAGGTCACCAGTTTAAGTTAGTGACGCAGTACAGCCGCCTGGAATGTCGGCGAAACTATTTCTCCCTTCGAGTGGCACAGCCTTGGAATGCCCTCCCGGAACATGTAATTAATGCACCCATCTTATCCCTTTTCAAAGAACGCCTTGACGATACCCTGTCACATTTACACTACGTGCTATAGCTCATGACCACCAGATGCTGGTACTAATGCACAACAGACAGGGGATAGTGCCATAACCCTACTCGAGAATGACTCATTCCAAACGTCTTGCACGTAATTTGATAAACGCTACTACTACAGAAACTGGATTACTGTATCCCGTCAACCCAAGATTGTTGCACACGAGTAAGCGTTGTCCTTGCTACCTTTTTACTTTTCTCGCCTATGATGTGAACAATAACCACTCCCCTGTTGCTTTGTGTGAGTACATTCTCATTTCAAACTCCCTCTATACGACAGTGCAGTTACATCTGTAAGCGCCCGAACTGAAGACTCCATTATCTTTCGTTATCTTTTTTATCACGCTATACACCCTACGGGACATGTCAAGCACCTGCTTTTTTACCCGTTATAAATCATTGTTCATTGTTCATCTGAGAAGGTTTTTCCACTCAGGGTAGTATTGTGTTTTAAACGTAATTGGTTTGGCATTGATACTTGTTCATAACAGTTTGTCGAACTAGTTTATGAAGGATTAATATTAATTGTGACAATACAAGTGTGCTTATACATATGCATATAAATAAATCAAACACGAATACATAAGAACAATATTGCACAGTAGCTTAGTTTGGGTAACGAAGTGCAGAAAGTGAAAATGAGTCCATTTATTGATGATGTGACATGGCAATCCGGGCAACAATGGCTACAAAGCGCAACGTAGGGGTATGAGTACATGGTCCAGACGCTCTTTCTGGTTGGCCGAAGCATGCAAGTTGACATGTACGATACCTACTCTAATCCTGTTTTTATGGTCAGCGGGGTCCCACTGGACGCTGTCCTTGTTCCCGAGCTCTTCAAACTCTACATCAATAAGCTTACATCGGAACTCCAAACAGGTTGCCACAAACATGTTGATGATCAAACTGTGGCTACAGGTGTCCAAACTTGCTAATGCCGACCTGCTATAGACAAGGCTGGACCGATTGCACTACTGATCACTGGAGTGGTACCTACCCATTAATCATGCCAAGTGTTCTGTTCCCCATTTGGGGCCCTGGACAGCTTTGGAATTTATTATATTAGGGACTGCTTGCTCAGGAACTCAACCTTGAAGAAAGAGCTTGGAGTTCTTGTCTCGCCGAACCTACGCATCACTCAACAGACCCTAAAGAAAGTTGCTGCTGCTAATAGGACTACTTCACTATAAAGAAGTCCTTTACCCAGGTGATTCCAGAGATCTTCCTAATTCAGTTCAGCACGGATTACCAGCATCCTATCCTCTCACGAAAGGCGAATACATACTGATAGAGAACTTTCAGCGGAGGGGATGGATACCCGTTATGACACTCCGGAAGCGACCTTAATCTCATCTCCTTCAAAGGATGAACACTTATTTCCTGGAGTATCCTCGTCGCCATTGTGACTTGGTTTACACCGGCGTATTCTCTGACGTTAGATGTGGGATAAGATATAACAGTTCGTTCGTTTTGTGCTGACAGTTCGACAAGAGGCCACGGTATGAAGCTGTTAACACCAGGGAGGTTTCGGGTTCGCTCTGATATCTCTTGGTTAATTTATGTCCTGCATCACGGGAACAGTTTACATGAGCTAGTCGTCAGTGGGCAAAGAGCAGGATGTTTCTAACGATTACTTGACATCTATTTGTTCAAAAACCGTGAATCTTGCTGTGTTGAATACGACCGCCATTATTTATTGTGGAACACCGTGCTGCATCTACTCATATGATCCCTAGAAGTAGCGGCAGTGATAGGACTGACAAAGGCTTTACTGTCTGTTCTACACAAATCAAGGAACCAATGAATCCAGACTCCCCTTTGAATG